ATTATTTTCCTCTAGAGTAAAGAGAAGCCAGTAAGGCAGATGGGAGGGACAGTTTTCAGAGGCTTGGTGGTGAGAAGCCTGTCTTGGTGAATGATAAGTCTTCTGTAATCAGGGGGAAATGAGTCGCCCAGAATCTCTGGAGGTACTAGACTGGGAAAGGAGAGACAGAGGCAGGAAGTCGAGGCTGGTCGCAGTGAAGTGGAAGGAACACAGTTTAGAACTCTCAGTCCTAGTTCTGACCACCAGCGATGGTCGGGAACTGTGGAGGATTTGAGATTTTACCTGACGTGCAAGCTAATAAGTTAACCGGCCATAGTTCCAAGGATGCTGGCAAAGGACAGGAGACTCCCAGGCCACTGACAAAGGACAGTGTTCTACCAACAGCAAAGGAAATGGCCACAGATCCTCATGTTCTTGTCCAGTTCCCTGACCTCTAGTTCCTATAGGGCAGCGCAAAAATGGCCAAGAGATACCTGCAGATGCAGTGGGCTGAGCTTTGGAAGAGGAACGCTGAGCCTAGGACACTCCAATCTTTTATAATGGTCAGCAAACAAATGGTTCAACTTTTGCTCTGGAAGGAGACGTCATCTCTGTCTCCCAAGACGGTTCACTATGCAGATATCTTTGAAAAGATGATCCAGAAAAGATCCATGAAAAAATGTTTCCTGAGAGTGGTCAACCATGGGTCAGGTTATCTGTCTTCTTCATGTGCTTGCGTCTTTATAATGAAATGGAGGGATCGTTACGCAACTCATAGCAAAGTCTGAAATAAAATATAATTCCAAACTAAAAATTGCCAAAACGATGAGTACCTAACTTTAACATTACGTTGGAGCATTTTACGATAGCCCTGCTGAAAATGTACTTTGTTGTTACCATGTATTGCAGAATTAACCCGTAACTAACAAAAACACAGGTAATCCCTACCAGGCACGATTAAATGTTAACCTCTGAAATTGGTAAGGTGTAGAAAATGAACTAATAGTGTACCTAATTTGGCAACTGTTCTGATACATTCCTTTTCTTTCTTTTCAAATCCCTATTTCTAAAACATTCTTTGAGACTACTCTATTGTCTTCTTGATGGTTGCCTCATGAAATAATTATTTAAACATTTTACAGATGCTAACAAATAAATTTGTTTAAAAAGTCTGATTGTAAGTTTTTAACAGGATTAAATGAGATAATATATGTAACTGTCTAAAGGTACTCAGCATACTAGGCAGTCAATAAGCATTAGTTTCTTCCTATCATAGTTCTAACATTTTACAATTTAAAGGTATGGAGAATAAATCATGCCAACTTGTCATTTTTAATTAAAATAAAGCTGTATTGTTTCTTTTTTGCTACTATAAAGTTACTTTAATAATAGCCATTTATATTTTATTTTTAATTAAATTTATTGCGGTGACATTGGTTAATAAAATTATGTTGCACGGGTACAATCCAATAAGTCATATGTATATCGCACTGTGTGTTCACCAAAGTCAAATCTTCCGTCACCATACATCTGACCCCCTTGTTAAGAGTGGATAAGCATACTGTTTCCTAAGTTTTTAAATAACGACCATTTTCACTAGTTGCCATGTGTTTTCAGAATCAATGTAATTTTGATCGCAAATACTCACGAAAAAAAAGATATTTAAATACCTCGATTAGTTAAAACACATTTGTAACTGGAGCGTTACTTTTAATTATCTTCCTCTCCAAGTTTCCTTTTCATTCAGCTGGTTTCTCTCTCTTCCAAGTCAGTCTAGCAGTTTAGTTTCGGGGATGGAGGGAGAGAAGTTGTAATCTTGGAAGGAGGAGGATAGGATTTAGGGGGCTATCCCACCCAGGCCTAAAGAAGAAGGTAAAAATGTCTCCCTCCACCCCAGTTGTATATGGAGAGGAAAATCAAGAAAAACCACCTCAGTAAGAGTGGCAGGCTGGAAACTCCAGCAAGAGCAGGTCAGCTGCACAGGTTGAGGGGCACACAGAAAGCCGAGGGGCTCTCTTCCAGTTACCTATTTGTGGAAAGCCTTGGTACGGATGGCCCCAACATACTCCAGTGGGCGTGGCCAGAAAAAGTAAACACTTTGCCAGTGGCTGGATCTTCGCTTCCTGTGTGGACTGAGTATCAAGGCAAAAGGCAGGGGACCTGTTATGCAGCCCACCAAGGTCAGGGTAAGGTAATCCCACAGCAGAGGCTTAAACGAGGGGCCACATGGTAAATTGGTGGCCCTGACTCAGAGGAGTCTTCAAATCCTATGAAAGCCAAGGCGAGGCTGGGTCATCAGAGAGGGTTTTCTAAAGCCCCGAAACCTTGGAAAACCATATACTAAGAGTATATCCACCAAAGATGTCAGTAACAGGTATCAACGGATTACCTAGTATCAGAACTGGCTGAGCCAAACCTCAGTAGAGCTAGGTTCACACCATTTATCACACCCACCCCTCCCAACTCCACAAAGTCCTGTGCTCCCTGTCCCACACTCCTGACTGCAATCAAGGAAGGGAACAAGGAGAACATAAAGGAATCTGGAACATTCGGCAGTTGTCCAAAGAAGCAAGTTAAATCTAAAGAAACAAATAAAAGTATTTTGTCTCACCTCATTTCATGTCAGACTAAGCCAAGCTCTTTTTGTTTGGTTTGGTTGGTTTTTGTTTTTCTGCTCTACTCAACAGGTAGACACTTGATAAGAAAGATCAGATATATGGAAATATAGAGGCTACATTATCTTTGCACATTCGAATCACAGTGTGAGTAAATTTGTGACCCCACTACATATTTTTGAGCGATTCAAACACTTTCCATTATTACTGGGAGAGAGAGCAGTTAGAGAGGGCCCCACAGTGACAAAGAAACAATTTTGAATTTTGCTTTTTATAGGATTTCAGACTCCAGTATTGTGTTTTTTTTTGTTTTTTTTTTTTTAATAAAACATCGGCCATAATAGTTTGAGCGCAGGTATAACATTAAATAAAAAGGGCTAAGAGTAGCTGTACGACTTGCTCATTAAAGCTGATTATTTTTTTGTGTGCCAATTAAACTTTAGAGGGTAGAGAACAAGCCAGCTAAAAATCTACCTGATGTCCTCCACCTGAGGAGACAAGTAAATAAAGCCTTCAGCCTGTCAGCTACTGACATCAGCCTCATCCCAATCAAATAAGTAAAAACCTGGGCCTGACTTATGGGTAATGCAAAGCATGGACCTTGGAAAAAGGGAAAGGTTTGTAGTGATTTAGAACCTGGCCATCTGAAAACTTGATTATAAGGTAAAATATGCAGAAGCTCTAGGAAAGGCATAAAAGTGTCATGCAAATAGGGGACCAGTTGGGGAAGAGCTGAGATCAAATAAAATTTTCTCGTAAGTTGTGCCACTTGATTTTCACGCTCCGGGAGGCTGTATATTGTAACAATTAAGGGCACAAGTCTGGAAGCCAGGCTGCCCGGTCTTGAATCCTATCCTTTCCCTTACTGACCTTCAAAAAGTCACTCAACCTCACAATGCCTGGGTTTCCTCATTTATCAGTGGGGGTAATAACAGTTCTGGCTCCACTGGTGGTTGAACATTAAGTGTTAATGTGTGTCAAGTGTTTAGGATGTACCCAAAAGTGTGTAAGTCTTACTGCTATAATCGCTGTTACTAACATAACAGTAACGCCGCTACCAGTGTGTGCAAGGCACAGGCAATGCCACGGGGAGCAGGCTATCCACGACCCCTGCACTCGGCGACAGTCTAATGACGGCTATAAATTAGTATGAACGGCCTCTGACGTCTTCCGGTTAACAGATCAATAGGTTGTAACGTGTATAAACTGCATTTTAAATGCAAACTGCAACACGTGTTGAGAAATTTGGAAACTACTGGGTGGTTTTCAAACTGTCTTCTGAGAAGCTCTGGGGTTTGGCTAATGACCACGAAGGGGAACAGAAGATGGTAAAGAAAGAAGGTAAGGGAAGGAGACTGGCGTTTCATTTATCTTTTCAAAGACTGATCAATGTCTTTTCAAAGATTGGCAATCGACATGTAAGATATTTGGGTAAACAGCTCGCAAATGACACACAAAGCCGAGTCTCCTGTGCTTAGAAAACTGGGAATCTTAAGCAGGTTTTCACTCTTGCTATTAGCGGGTACTTAACAAATCATTTAGATTTTTAGCAAACTATTTAGAGCCTAAGAAAAATAAGAAAAAGTTCAAACGGACCCTCCTCTAGATTACTACAGACTTCTGAGGACAAATTTACTCATAATCGATTCAGTAGCAATAACTCCAAAATATACATCCTGAGAGCCAGATTGTGGTTATCTTTTTTTCCCCAGAACATCAAGTCATGGTGGTCTCCTTCTGATTCACGGAAAGAAAAAAAAAAATGTAACGAATTTGTGTATAAGAATCTCTCATTTAAGTTTTTCTTCCCTAAATTTTCTCCAGTGTTTAGTGCCTACAACCATCGGTCTGATAACAAACAATAACGAGAATTAAATCAACAAATAAGTAGTGAGTGGAGTAAAAACCTGGGGTCTGACCAGGTTCAGCTTGCGTGTTCTCGCGTCCACCTGGGCTATGAGTTCACAGAGCACACACATCTTACATTGTTCCATTTTGTCCCCAGTGCACTCGGCCCTATTTCCTATAATCCCGCACCCCGTAACTTTCAGGGCTCAGACATCCGAAGGAGTCTGAAACCACCCCAAGATCTGCTCTCGGAGCTTTAACACGATCTGACAGAGAACCCACGTTGTCATCCCCGAGAGCTCGCCTGCCAGCTCTACAGGCTGTGGAGCGATAAGCAACCATGCACCTCAGCTGTGCTATCTGTGATCTGTGCATCCTCATCCACGGGGGACAGGGCTGAGAACCGCTTCCCAGGACGCGGCATCCTTGTTCTGTAATGAACAGCAGCTTGACTTGACTGCAGAGCACCGTGGGAGACGCCGAGAAGCGCATCGGGGCTCCAACTCCGGGGCCTGCCCCCACTTCCCGACACCCTCTTAATTATCAGGAAGGACTTACCAAAGTTGTGGGCGCCGCCGTCACACGGCCCATGGCACCTCGAGCCAGAAAGCTTGCCTTCCACGTCTCCGTTGTGACCTTGGGGGAAATCATCAAACATGCTGTAGAGGAATTGGGAGAGAAACAAGGAGATGAGAGCTAGACTTCAAAAGCTCCAGCCTCAACAGCCCGTAACAACAAAACAGGGTTAGATCATCTAATTTTCCAGAAATGTGCCCACCTTGAAGAGGCCCCGGAACTCTCTGGAACGATTCCGGCAAGGCTGCCGGCCACTAGAGACCCAACAGCAGACTGAAAACCAAGCTCGGCCTTTTCACCAAGAATTTACGACAGTCGGGGACTAGCGGACGTAAAGTGCTGTGCACACCAGCTCCTCGGAGCGCCCTTGGGTGCTGCTGGGCTCTCGCCCATTGGTGCCAGCTGCTGTCCTGCTTCCTCAGCTTTTTTTTCCTTTCTTCTCTCTCCCTGGGAGTTAATGATGGCCTCTGAAGGTGCCAACTTAGAATTTATTTCCCAGAGTTTCCAGAGACTGGAAACCTGGAATGTATGTACCGCGGAAACAAAATAAACGCGATGCCTGACTGATCGATGCATTTTGCGGTGTGAAAGAAAAAAACGAGAGAATTACAGGCCCGTCCCTATTTCTAAAGAGGATGCTACGCGGAATATGTTTCGAACGTTCGGGAAGCCTAAGAGATGTCGACTGCCCTGCTCAGCCTTCATACACACTTCTGATTCTTAAATAGTCATTCGAAGATCACAGCTGAGCAAATGTGGTTTCCAGGTCTCAAACGCAAGATCTGCGGCTCGAGCTTCGGAGAACAAGACGGGAATAAGGATGGATTTCTAATGGGTTGGATTCATTCGGAGCATTTTTGCATTTTATAATCTTTAGCATTTTTCTTCTTTATTATATGTCTCACGCTAGACTGTAAACACTGTAAGGACGGAAAATACAACAATTTTGCTTATTAACATTAATAAGCGACGATTTTGCTTATTATTTTATTAATGAATACGACTACTTCGCTTATCGTTTATAATTTAAGTTAGACCAGAAATAAGGTCTAACACATAGTTTGCACTTAAAAAACTATTAATGAAACGACTGACTGAAGACTGTGGAGAGAAAAATGGGTCCACCTGCTGACTACCAGGGAGGTGAATAAACCAGCTGGTGAACAGGTGAGCCCAGGGCAGGTCCCTATTCTGCGACAAGTCCACTTCTGTAACAAGGTAATGTCAGGAGCATGGAGGGCGCAGAACTTGGATGTGAGGACCAACTGGGGACTGCAGAATTTTCTAGTTGAAAGGGATGAGACAACCTTAGTGACTTTTCACCAATCGCAAAGCCAGGTTGTAACCAAATTATTAGAGGACAATCCAAACTTCCTAACTCCCGGTTGTAAGTGTCACATTCTCTGAAGCACCAGTGGCTGCAGAGAGGTGTGAATGTCGGGATATTGAACCCCCAGCCTTCTTCTGCCTCCTACAGATCGATACAGTGGCTTCTTAGTCCAAGGACTTCATTTTAAAGGACAAGAAGAAGCAGAGTTTGCAGAGTTGACCCCTGAGCTGAACAAAGGTGAGAGAGGAGGGAATACAGTGTCAGGGGCAGGTGAAGGGGGGGTGTATACCGGATGTGGTGTCGCCACGGTTCTGGGGTTTGGGGAAGAGCAAACACAGAGAGGGACTGCTGTGCTGTGTTGTGACAGTGGCATCTGGGGAGTGTGGGAGGCCTGCAAAGAGATCACGGAGCAGGAGCTGTGGGAATCCGTGGCAGTGAGAAGCCTGAATGCCCTTGATCTTCAAGCCCGAGGCTGCTCAGCCAAGTGGTCAGTCGTGAGGCCCTAGGGCTCCCAGCCAGTCTCTGGTCAAAAGTTCCTGGCACTTTAGATTCTGGCCCCTTAGGGCCATGTGTCTGCCTTCTCCCCAGCCAGAAGCCAGCCCTCTGAAGGGCCTTTCACCTGACTGCATCAGAAGTAAAACTCAAGCATCTGTTCACCTTATTTAAATCAAACTTCTAAAAGCTTCATACCCACTGCTGCTCCAAATCTAAGCACCGCTTCTTAACTTGAAGCCAGAAAACTATAACTAGATGTACAGAATTCCCCCTATGTTTAAAAAAACGAAAATCTGAGACAAAGTCTGTAAAATAGAAGGGTGAGCAAAGGGGACACGTCCACTGACTTAGCTTATACATGTCCTATGACAAGATGATCCTGCTCGTCTAACCTTTAAGTGACAATTTCTACCGGCAGAGTGATTTGTAACCACCTTTGCAAACCTGATGGTGACAGCTGGAAATGTGGCTGAATTTGTGGTTATCCATAAGTTACAAAAAAGCTGGGTTTTTTTTTGTGCACGTGGCTAGCTCCTTTGGCATTGATTTTTGTAAACTGTACAATCTCTAATAGCATCTTGGATTTTTCTGGCAATATCCTTCAGAAAAAAACCCTCAGGATGCTTTTCACAAATGCCATTCCTTTGTTCTTTTAGGACTTTTCAGCGAAAAGATTCTTAGAGGCAGGCACAAAATAAGAAACCCATTCCTTCAAGAGAGCTCTATTAAGTGTTCTCTATTTCAATGAGTCTCTTTCCATTTACACATACTTTTCCTACTTTTGTTTGTGATTTTTCTCTCCGGTCTTTTCCCTGCACCCACTATTTTAAGCTTAGTTTTTCTTCGGACTGTTTCTTGTCAGCTCCCTGGGTCCCATCATCACAGCCCTGCCATGCTTCCATTCTCTGCCTTTGCTTAGACAATATTAGGTGAAAAATATTTTATCAAATATTCTTTTTTTTTTTCCTTTCTTTCTCTTTCACTTTCTAAAAACCAAAAGGTGAAAATGTAATTCCAAAGTGAAATTTTGGACTAATTTTCAGAGGTAGGCACTGAGCGGTCAGCTGGTCCAACATTTTAAACATATTACCTTATTTCAGAAAAGCAAATATTTTAACCAGCAGGGATGGCACAGAGTTGCTCAGCATAATTTTTTAAATTAGACTTAAAACTATTTGATCAATCACATGTTGTGCTGCATGGATTTGTCGTTATTTTTTTTCCCCCTCCTTTTTCATGCTCCTCTTCAGTGAGAATCCAAGCTCCGTGTAGTTACAATGATCATTTGACAGCTCTCTGTTACAAAAAGTTTACAATTTAGTCAGCTACATCCAACTTCTACAGAAATCCTATTGCTTTTTTCTTGATAAATCTACTTACATCCATTCTTTGTATTCATTTAACAGAAAACATTTGTTAGCACATATTGCACTAAAGAGAGTGCTGAAGTCTGGTATTTTGGTGGTGATCAGAGACATTTAGTCTTTCTGTTTCCATGTGGGGATGTGCTAGTCACATTTTCAAATCTAAAACTACAAACTGAACAGAGCACTCATAAGGCATGGAACAGGCCTTAGTCTATGAGGTCGTGGAACAGCAAGGCAAGACCTAAAATGGGAGCCAGTGTCAATCAGAGAAATAGGAGGAATATTTGTCTCATCGGTATGCTATGCATTAGGTCTCTAGAATTTGTCTTCTAGTTGCAAGTTTATATCTTTCACAACATATCCCCAATTTCCCCACCCCCCAGTCTCTGGTAATCACCTTTCTATTCTCTTTTTTAGATTCCACGTCTAAGTGATATCACACAATATTTGTCTTATCTGGCTTATCTCAGAAACATAGTACCCTCAAGGTCCATCTATTTGTGACAAATGGCAGGATTTCTCCATTTTTCCTGGCTGAATGATATTCCATTGTATATAAATACCACATCTTTATCCAATCATTGGTTGACAGGCATTTGGGTTCTTCCCATATCTTGGCTATTGTGGAATAATGCAGCAATAAATTTGGGAGTGCAGATATCTTTCTGATATCCTGTGTTCATTTCCTTTGGATATGTACCAGGAGTGAGATTGCTGGATCATATGGTGGTTGTGTTTTCACTTAATTTTATTTTGAGGAACCTCTATACTGTTTTCCATAGTGGCTGAAGTAATTTACGTTCCACCAACTGTGTACTAGGGTTGCCTTTTCTCCACACCCTCACTAATGCCAGTTATCTCATCTTTTTTGATGACAGCCAGTCTAACAGGGGTGAGGTGATATCTCATTGTGACTTTGATTTGCATTTCCCTGATGATTAGTGATGTTGAGCATCTTTTCATGTACCTGTTGGCCATGTGGACATCGTCTTTGGAAAAATGTTTACTTGAGATTTCTAAGAGACTAGATCTTAAATGTTCTCACCACAAAAATGAAATGATAACTATGTGACATGAGAGGTGGTAGCTAAAGCTACAGCGGTAATGATATTGCAATACATAAATGTATCAAATCAACACATTGTATACCCTAAACTTACACAATGTTATATGTAACTATATCTTAATAAAGACATGGTGTGCAAATAAATTACTGTCGATTTCTTTATTATGTACAATATTTATTATTTGGCTCCACCACTAGAAAATAAACTTCGTGAGGGAATAGACCTATGTTCACTTCCTCACCGATATGTTATAAGCACGAATAAGAGTGTCTAACACTTAGCGGTCACATAATAAACATGTGTTAAGTGAATGAAAAGCTCTTCTAATTAGCAAGCATTTGTTAAGTCCCTACCATCAGCACTGTGCTGACACTTTCTGGGGGGAGGAATGGTCTAACTGGAGAGACAGAACTTGCACACAATGAAGAATATTTGAAGAATTGCAAAAACAACAAGGCAATCTACTTGAGTTTCACTCTATGAGAGTATAACACACAAAACAAATGACCAGAGGGAGCAGGAAACAGAGGCGGGGAATGGAGTCCAGAAATCTTTTGCCAAGGAGAGAGAAAATAAAGGCCAGAGAAATAACGGGGGCAGGTGCATACAGGTGTAACACACCGTAGAGTGCAGCATTCCCAGGGTGCCACATTTCAACAGTGAGTCTTATGGGAACCATGGTCAAATGAATCCATGAAAGGATCAGCTAAGCAAAATTAAAAATACTCTTTACCGCAGCATTTTTAAACCCTTTGCTAATGACCTGAAAAATGAATTAAGGACATAATCTTGTTTACAATAGCATCAAAAGGAATAAAATATTT